ATGCAATCTCGTGCAATAATATACTCATACTCATATGTAATCTCGTGCAATAATATATATATATACTCATTCACTCATTATAAAAATAGAGTACTTTCTGTGGAGGTCTCTTTCTTACTTTTGAGTCTCTCTTAATTCGCTTTCTGTCTCTTGAGTCTCTCTTGACTCACTTTCTTTCTCTTGAGTCCCTCTTGACTCACTTTCTTTCTCTTGAGTCTCTTTTGACTCTCTTCTTTCTTTTACTCGTAGACGGCTTAGGGTTTCACCGATGCGTGAATTACCCCATCGGGAACGGCATAAATCCGACCCAATATCTCCTACCGTCTACGGAACCAATCTCGTGGTTATATCTCTGTGGAATCAAGTATCGAACTATTAGTGTGCACACCCCCTAATCAGGATTCCAAGCCTGGTGGGCGGTTTCCAACCTCGTAACGTGGGAATACGCCGCGTTACATATACTGGGACCGCAATGTCCATAAATATCTCTCGAGAGGACATAGTCCAAACGGTATCCTCCAAAACCTCACCGATATATATAATACATAAATATATCTCTCATGCATCAATCTCATGCATGCAATAACTCTATTACTTCTCAATGCATCAAAGAATGATATACCACATGCTTATGGTTTTTTAAAGTATTCTTGGGCTCACGTTGGCCCCTTATGCATTTTTGAAATATGACGCATGTGAAATGTCAAAATGCTCTATAAGATGCTTCTAAACCATGTATAAAATAACATGAAACACTTAAGAATATAACGTCATGCTCGGTTTGCAACATAGCAAATTCTATACATTCTTTCAACAAAATATGCTTCATTTCTCATTGCTTAAATATCACAATCTAGTCATGCTTTCATAATAAATCATATTCTCAAATGATCATGCTTCTTTACTCAATAAAAACATCAACAGATCACATAGTCAAATAATTCTTTTTACACAGTAAACTAGCAAATCTATACTCTGTGTAGCAAATCTTCAATAAAACCTTCATAACATACTCATTTTTTATCCAAATTCAACAAAATCAAAGCCAAAATGTGTGCCGAGACGATCCCAAAGAGCCGAGCCACAAGGGCCCGTAACACTCGACCCGAAACGACACGTAGCTGAGCCACAAGGGCCCGGACACTGCACAGATTCTTCTCAGAATCAAAGTCAGGGATCTGGGGCGGGACTCCTCATGGTCCGCCCCATGTACCCCGTTACTCCACTGGGACTAGGTGGCGGCCCTCCTCTAGGGCTGTGCAACCACAGCTCTAGCCGGCGGCCCTCCTGATGGGCCGCGGCTAGGGCCGTTAGTCTGATCTGGTGCACACTGCGTGTGCACCAAAAGGCTTTCTCATATGCAAAACTCAATCCAAACAAGTCCAAAACAATCTCAACAACTCACAAACAAATACTAGATCACTTCTAAGCATAAACACAACAAAATCTCATAGATTATACTCATTTCTACTCAATAATAAGGCTTCACAAAGCCAAGTTTCAAAGAGGAATCCATGGGGTTATACCTCTTGTTACATCTTCTTCTTGTTCTTCTTCCTTGTGTGAACCTCAGCTTCCATTCTACTCAACACCAAACCAATCACCATCTAGACACCATGTGTTTTCCTTTGGTTTCTTGCTGAGCTGCTAGGTAGGGAAGATCAGGAAATTAAGGATGGAAGAGGTGAGTTTTATAGGGTCCAAAACCCTAGAAGATCTTCTTATGATTGGTTGATGAGAGGAACAATCTTATTGGCTCTCAATTAAAGCATCAGACAAAGGTGGAGGCTAGTGGTTCACCATACTCCATGGTCCAAAGACTAGAAATGCTAACTTTGGGGTTGAAAATGAATTTTCTCAAAAAGTTATTTAGATGAACCCTTGTTTAAAGTCTTTTTTGAATTCTCCCGGTTTCACTCAGATAAATTTCTCGATTTAAATCTTGGTACGCGAAGTACCCGAAAATTTAGGAAATTTCGAATAGAATAAATTTTGGTGTCGAATTAATTTTAAAATGTGACGAAAATAATTTATTCAAACACCAATTGATCGCAAAAAATTTTTACTGGAGTAAAAATGGCTATTTTGGAATTTCTTAATACCGGATTTATGAAATAAAATTTTGGGTTGTTACACCCCAGGTGACAAATCATTGGCTGAGGAGGCCAAAAGGGTAAAAGCTTGTGAAATTTCATCAGACTCCTTCTTTAACATAAGCTGGGGCTTTAAAAATAATTTTACACAACTTTATGGTCAAAATAGATTTTCTATAAGATAGTTTCTAATTAAAACATTTGGTTCAGGTTTCACAGGTTCCTATCGGGTTTCACTCAGATTGACTTTTTGGGTCAAAACTTGGTACATAGATATAACCAAAACTTAGGATTTTTGAAATAAACTACTTTTTTGGTGTTGAATTGATTTAAAATATTTAATTCATACACCGTCTTTAGAAAAAAAAAATTGAAGAAGTAAAAATAATTATTTTGGAATTTATAAAACAGAATTTAGGAAAATAATTTTTGGGTAGTCACAGCGACTCCAGCTGCCTCCTGCCGCTCCGCGATGGTGAGACTCCGCCTGCCTCCTGCCTCTCCACCTCCAACACCTCTTCCTTCTCTTATCTCCTCCAACGGCTTGAGGTGCAAGATCGGAGATCTTGAGGTGCCGAAATCGGAGATCTTGAGGTGCGAGATCGGAGATCTTGAGTTGCTGAAATCAGAGATCTTGAGGTGCCGAGATCGAAGGTTGATGTTGATGACTGATGAAGTGATGAGTCATCCATGGCTCCACGCGTGGGAAGTGAGAACTTTAATTAACATGCCTAAACTACATAATGCTTAACTACTGAAAAAAAAAAAGATAAAATAAATAATAAAAAAATTTAATCGGGCGCCTAACGTCTTTTTCAACATTGGCCTTTGCTTTGATGGAGGAATTCGTTGTAAGTTCTATTTTATAGCTACTAACTAGTTGTAGGTTTTCGATTTTGAAGGGGCATTGCAGACCTAGGTTTGGTAGATGGGAACTTAAAGTTGCTTGGGTTTGGTTTGAGGTTGTTGTAGGTTAGCTGTGCATAGTTGGTTTGTTGATTGGGAATTTAAAATTTATTTGTTGCTGTTGGAGAGCAAAAATAATGGAAGGATGCAATGCAATAAGTGGTTATTGAGGACTCTTTCATGACTCTTTTTGGGAGCTAAGTTTTGGTTTGAATTCTTAATTTCTTATAATTGTAATGGACATTTTGGTTGTGGAAGTTGACATGCTCAGGGTGATGAGGGTGGCAGGGTCAATTTTTAGATTTTTGTGACCCTGTTCGGTAGGGCTGTGCAAAAACCGACCCACCCGAAAAACCCGACCGACCCGAACCCGATTACACACCCTATGGGGGAATCCGAACCCGAACAACAATACCCGAACCGAGAACATGAAACAAAGCCGGTTAAAAGGAGGCGGGTTGGGGGTTATAAAATCCCCCCGAACTCGTCCGACAACCCGAATTAGGGTAAGAGTTCATATACCCTAAGGTATACGACGTCGTGTAAGCGGTGTATATATGTTGCGTTCGAAGGAAACCCTAGTCATTCCACTCATTTGCGCAGCTTCATCTTCTTTCTTCTGACCTCTGAGAAGTGAGAACTCTCTAGAGTCTAGACTCGTTCTCTCGTGAGTCTCGTCTTTCTTACTTCTTTCTTCTCCAGTTCTCTGATTCTGTGAGAGTGTGAGACTCTGAGTTCTCATATCTTCTCAGAGTCTTAGTCAGTTAGTCTCTCAGAGGCTTCGACTAATCGACTCCTTCGAGGGTTCTTTAGTTCACTCGTTCTGCACAGCCCTACTCTCTTGAGCCGTGGACCGTGGTGGAAGCCTCAACTCTCAAGCCAGCGAAGCGTTGGTGGAAGCCCCTGACCCCCCTGTGTCCATTCGTCCAGTGTCCCTGTGTGGCTGTGTTGATTGCTTGAAGAGTGGAGTTGAAGACCTAGTTCTCCGGGAAAATATTGGAGAAATCAAGTAATCGAAAACTGAAAACATGTTTTTAATACTGTTTTTTTAGGGTTACAATTTATGATTGATACTTCATACTTGGATAGTTTGTGGGGTTTCTGTATATTCTGATTATTTGCATTATTCTGCGATTTGTGATGAAATTGTGAGTTTGTGAGCCCTAATTTTTACGTGAGTCAGTGTCTCAGTGACTCACTGGCTCACTAAGCCCTAATTTTTGGGGCTTTCCATATAAATGATGAATTTGTCAAATTCCTGATATATGGTTTCATGTTTATGGTAATCGGACCCTTAACTTTGTACAGACTGTATATATGATTATATGTAATTATGTTACATATTGTAGTGGTGGAAGCCTAAATTTGATTAATGTGATTATGGATTTTATGAATTATGAGATTGAATTGTATTGTGTATTTGTGTTGATTCATGATTGTATGAGCAGTTGAACACAAAGCCCTAAACCTCTTGAGTCGATCTTAAGGCAGTAACTCAGTAAGGTTTGGGCAATTCCATTTAGATGATGATTTGAAAAATGCAAATCTGATTTATGGATTTAATGGTGGAAGTGTAATATGTAATCTGCTAATCTATGTTGACTATGTTCTATACTTTTATGTATGATTGTATGGTGGAAGCTTTAATCTAAAATATGTTGTAATATGTAAATATGTTACCTATTTATGATTTGTAATCTCAAATCTGTTTGGTTGTCTGCTTTATTTGGATACTGATGCCCATCTTTATAGATGGAAAGCATCAGTGCATCTGGACACCCTCCAACCTCAACTGATGAGGAGCATGGAGTAGAAGCTCCAGCTACTGAGAGAAATCCTCAGACAAATCCTATGCCTTCTCCTCCTGAAAAAATGAACTTCTTGATATTCTATGCCAATATTTTGGATCCTAGGGATAAGATTGAGTACATGCCTGGCCAATTTGCCTAGTTATATGGTGATGATAAAGGAAAATCATGCTTTGAAAAGGTTCAATCTTCTATGGTTCTGCTGTTTAATGATTATACAGCCACCTACCATGTGCAGTCTGCATCCCGTACTGTGCAATCTACGCAATCTGAACCTGTCCATTCTCAAACTTCAGTTAGAAAACCTCAGGCTAGAATGAAAAGTCGGCTTAAAAAACAGAGAATGGAGACTGGTGGAAGCAGTAAAGAAACTGAACTCCAGATTTATCTAAGTGAAAAATTAGTGGAAGATGAAGAAAATGTGGACTTTGATGTCCTAAGATGGTGGAAGGTTAACAGTGATAGATTTCCTATACTCTCTAGAATGGCAAGGGATGTGCTGGTTGTTCTCATTTCAACTGTTGCCTCTGAGAGTGCATTCAGTACTAGTGGTAGGGTATTAGATGCCTTTAGGAGTTCCTTAACTCCTAAAATTGTTGAAGCCCTAGTATGCGCACAAGATTGGTTGAGGGCACCCAATCATCCAATCTCTGTTGAGGAAAACTTGGATGATGTTGAAAGATTAGAGAAGGGTACTCTTTTTATTTTCTAACTTTCTAGGTTTTAAATTTATAAATTGTTAATTGTTACCTTTTCTAAACTCTTTTTTGTTTTTCCTTTTTGTGCAGAATTGTCCACTGGAGCTGCTGGTTCTTCACTAAGTACTGTTGGAACACTCTCAACAATTGCTGTAATACTTTTATAATTTATTAGTTTATACTTTATATAACATTGCTTTCTGACTTTCTCTTTAGTTTGATTGCTAAATGTGTGGACTCTTTGAGGCAACTCAGGTAAGATTCCAGAACTGCTAATTGCTAAGTGGCTTGGTAACTTTTTTATAAATGTTGCTGCCCTTGCTCAGTTAGATCTCTGGTATTATGCCTTCTCTAGAATTTTGGTATATCACTTCCCTTCCTCTCATATTCTCCTTTCTGTTTAGTTATGGCTATGATGATGCTTCCACCATTTGTCTGAATTAAAAGGACTTTGGGTGTTTGGTATGTTGCTCTGAGACAAAACTCATGAAGCAATTTGCCCCCAACTCTAAAATAATATGAAAAAAAGCAATCTGAGTCTTTCTTATTAATTATTATTATTATTATTATTTATTATCTTCAGTTGATATGTCATATGTATACATGTAGTTCTCTACTTCTCTTTGTCTTTATTGGCTTTAAAGTTTAAAGCCTTTAATGGTTTTATAATTGAGCAGGAAGATGAGGAATGGATGAATGCTGATTGCTGAAGGCTGATTGGTGACTATTGACTAATGTTGATTGCTGACTGGAGTGACTGCTGAGTACTTTAGTAGTTTAGTGTTGTTTGAGAATTGTTGATTTTGTCATTTTGTGAACTTCATTTCATGCTTTTTGAATACCAGTTGGAAACTGGAATTGGTCAGTTTTAACTTTTAACTTTTGCGAATTGTAATTGCAATTTGCAAATTGCAATATGTAATTATGTATCTAAATGCCTACATAGCTTTGGTAATTTAGTTTTAAGTTATTAAGTTTCAACATTTTTACAGTTTTTTTTTTTGGTATGTTTTATAATCCGACTTCAAACCGAAACCCGACCCTATCCGAACAAAGGAAATCCGAAAGGATTTCCCTCTTAATTCGAACGGATTGGGGTAGTTTTTCTCAATCCGAAATCCGGACGGGTGAACGGTTCTATAAACCGAACCACCCGAACCCGTCCGATGCACAGCCCTACTATTCGGTAAATAAATAAGGCACTACCAAAATTAAAATCTTTAAAACTAATACCGTACGTAATTTTATTATCTAAATATATAACAAAAAAAAAAAAATTATCCGCGCATCGCACGGATAATTGGGCAATTATTTGCTCGAATTCAAGCAAGGATAGCATAAAAAAACATAATCAGTACAACCCATTTCATCAATTGCACTATATAATATTCATTGATATAATTTAAAGATTATAACAAATCTTTTTCGTGCAACGCACAGGTAAAAATAGACATATTATGGAATAATAATAGTGTGCACAAGTTTTGAACCTTAGACCTCAAAGTTAAAATACAATAAATACGTATTCCTACCATTTCTTTATAAAACCTTTTACATTTAATTAAAAACTTTTTATTTTTATTTCTAAACTAACTAAGTAAAAATAAAATATTGAGCTTCTAAAATTTGAGGCCCCTCTAAAATTTTGGGCCCTGTGCGGTAGCTCAGCTTGCACAGCCCAAAATCCGGGCCTGCCGTCAAGTTTTAATTTATCTTCTACATAGCCTTCAATTTCTGTCCATAAACTTTGTTTGAATAACACAATACAGTTTTGTTCGATCACACTCATGAATTCATGATGTTTCCAAGAAAAGTATAAAGAAACTATTTGGATGCATTATCTCTTGAGATAGATCAATTATATTCTGAGTTGTTTCTTAAACATTTCGTTCGCTGTGTTCGTTCCATCGATCAATCTTCATTCAATATTTATAATGGCTATTTCTCTTGTCACTTTACTAAATACCATTGAGTTCCATTTTCTATAACCTCTTCCTTGTTTGAGTGTTGATGATAGAGAAAAAATAATGATCGAATCTTTGTGTGAGAAGCTCCGATCTTTGCAAGCCTTCTTGGAGGATTCTCAGAAGAACAACATTCAGGGTTGGTTTTTAGATTTTTGTGGGCCTGTTCGGTAAATAAATAAGGCCCTACCAAAATTAAAATCTTTAAAACTAATACCATACGTAATTTTATTATCTAAATATATAACAAAAAAATTTATCCGTGCATCACACGCGCATCGCACGCACACTGCACAGATAATTGGGCAATTATTTGCTCGAATTCAAGCAAGGATAGCATAAAAAAACATAATCAATTCAACCCATTTCATCAATTGCACTATATAATATTCATTGTTATAATTTAAAGATTATAACAAATCTTTTCCGTGCAATGCACAGGTAAAAATAGACATATTATGAGATAATAATAATAGTGTGCACAAGCTTTGAACCTTAGACCTCAAAGTTAAAATACAATAAATACATATTCCTACCATTTCTTTATAAAACCTTTTAAGTTTAATTAAAAACTTTTTATTTTTATTTCTAAACTAACTAAGTAAAAATAAAATATTGAGCTTCTAAAATTTGGGGCCCCTCTAAAATTTTGGGCCCTGTGCGATAGCTCAGCTTGCACAGCCCAAAATCCAGGCCTGAAAACATGTATCTAGAAATTATATTGAATATAATATCAAATATAGAAATCAAGCTTTAAAAGTACAGTTATGAAAAATATTAAAGAAAACAAGTAATTTTTTTAAAAGTTTGTTTGATTATTTTATAATAAATTACAGAAATAAAATAAAATAAAAGAGGATAATACTTACAGACTCTACCAATGGTGGTTCAGAAGCAGCGACATTGTATTGCTCTCCAACCTCCTGAAAATCAAAATATAATAATTAATGCTAGTAATAATTTATTTTAAAAATTTTAAAAAATAAAAAAACTAAAACTTACAATGGAAGTTAAAGTAGCAGAGACCATTTCTATCTCGTCGTTGGCGGGAAGTGATGCCTCCTAAAACAAAAAATTATTAAAAAAATTATAGAAAAAATAGATTATTTAACCATTTAATAGTAAATAACATAAGTAAAATAAAATAAATAGTGTATAATACTGCCTCTACTGGTGCTAGCTCTGAATCAATGACAGTCAAAAATTAATTTAAAAAATTATACTCCGTAGAAAATAAGAAGAAAAAGGAAATTGTTTGACTATTTAATAGTAAATAAGATAAGTAAAATAATACTTACCGCCTCTACTGATGATGCTAGTTCATCAATGTGCTCCCCAACCTCCTCCTAAAACCAAAATATGGCAATTAATATAATAGTTCTTAAAGTGCCAAGACTGAGTGCAAATATGTTTTCTGAAACAGCCCTTAGGCAGATATGTAAACCTATAGGGAAGTTTTTAGCAACCATTAACTTTACTAGACCAAGTTTTGCAAGAGTTAAGGTGGATGTTGACTTACCGAAGCCAAAGGTCTATGAAATATTCAATTCATTGGGTTCTCTAGACAGATTAGAAAGGAGGATAGTGGCTATATTAAGGAGGTAGTGTATGAGAGATTCCCACATTGCTGCACTAACAGCGCGTTTGGTTCACGGGATGAATTTGGAGGGAATAGGAATGCTATTCCACATGGAATGGAATAGGTAAGGAATAGAATAGGAATTGTATTCTAAGGTCATGCTGTGGAGGTTTGTAAATGGGGAAATGCTAATGGGAATGAAGGGGGAGGAGCACTACCTAAGAGGTGGGGCTTGAAAGAAGGAGAATAAGTAGAAGTAAGAGAGGAATAGGGTCGATTTTTAGATTTTTGTGACCCTGTTCGATAAATAAATAAGGTCTTACCAAAATTAAAATCTTTAAAACTAATACCATACGTAATTTTATTATCTAAATATATAACAAAAAAAATTATCCGTGCATCGCACGCACACTGCACGAATAATTGGACAATTATTTGCTCGAATTCAAGCAAGGATAGCATAAAAAAACATAATCAGTACAATCCATTTCATCAATTGCACTATATAATATTCATTGTTATAATTTAAAGATTATAACAAATCTTTTCCGTGCAACGCACAGGTAAAAATAGACATATTATGGAATAATAATAATAATAGTGTGCACAAGTTTTGAACCTTAGACCTCAAAGTTAAAATACAATAAATACATATTCCTATCATTTCTTTATAAAACCTTTTAAGTTTAATTAAAAACTTTTTATTTTTATTTCTAAACTAACTAAGTAAAAATAAAATATTGAGCTTCTAAAATTTGGGCCCCTCTAAAATTTTGGGCCCTATGCGGTAGCTCAGTTTGCACAGCCTAAAATTCGGGCCTGTCGTCAAGTTTTAATTTATCTTCTACATAGCCTTCAATTTCTGTCCATAAACTTTGTTTGAAGAACACAATACAGTTTTGTTCGATCACACTCATGAATTCATGATGTTTCCAAGAAAAGTATAAACAAACTACTTGGATGTATTCTTGAGATAGATCGATTATATTCTGAGTTGTTTCTTAAACATTTCGTTCGCTGTGTTCGTTCCATCGATCAATCTTCCTTCAATATTTATAATGGCTATTTCTCTTGTCACTTTACTAAATACCATTGAGTTCCATTTTCTACAACCTCTTCCCTGATTTATTCTTTTAACCATCCTATCATATCACAATGTGAAACTTTTAGAATGGAGCAAATACTAATTTTGGTCATGTCTGACCAGGGCGATCGCACAGGACCTAAAAAAATTGGGGGCCCAATTTTTTTTAAAAAATATTTTAAATATAATTTATTATTTTTTATACTTAATAATTATTAATTTTGTTTGAATTCATAGATTAGTCTTATTTGTAATTAAAATACAATTTTGGAAGGAATTGACATCAAAATTTTAGTGAATAATTTTGTATTTAAATATGAATGAAAAATAGCACTTATAAATTAACTTTTGAATTGTACTCTTTTTTTTGTTAAATTTTTATGCATAATATTTGGACAAAAAAATTTAATTACACTTTTATTTTTGTCATAAAATATAATAATTCGTTTTCAAAAAAAAAATATAAATACAATAACTCAAATTAATGGATAGTTCAAGTGTCAAATGAACTTTCTTTGTGGTTATGAATAATTTTGGGATATGCACAGCTTCCTCTCTTTATTCCCCAACTCATTTTACAGGGCTTCTCAATCCCCAACGGAGATTCCTGAATGCCCACTCTCTCCTAGATAGTAGAGTCGAGAGAAAGAGAGAGATAGAGGGTGTAAAACCCTGAGTATTGTAAATTAAATTATACTCCGTATTTAATTCTAAATTTTAATTTCATTTTTCTTAGTTAGATTTTGGAATAATTATTGCTCAAATCTGTACTTAAATTAAAGGTGAGCGGGTTAAAGCTCAGTTTAATCTATTTGAATTGGATCGAAGTTCATATTTGTGTTTTATATTTAAAAAATTGATTGATTGATTCCTCGGATTTTTGGTTATCTTTTCTGCCGGAGTAATTTTATCTGCATGACCGGCGGAACGTCGGGAGTGGAATTGTTGTAGTCGTTGTGAAAGTTTGTTGGCGGTGGAATCATCCACAACATGTCTGCCGTAGTGTGCGGAAAAAGGTCCAGCATCTTCGAGGATTTACAGTCATCGTCGTCGTCTGAATCGCCGGCATTGGCTCCGGTATCG